TCATCTTAAAAACATGAATTTCCACATTGAAATGATTCTAAGATTTTTACCTGACATAATGCTTAAATTTCTCCCAGCATATCTCAAGTTAGCACAGGTCATATCACTACATCTCTGTGATGTCCACCTATTTCAAAACAATTAACATCCATGTAAAATAATTTCTTATCCTAAAAGTAGGAGGTCAAATTTTATTGTAAGAAAAGCCAGAATGAAAAAGTCTAGATCTGAAGATAATTATTTTCATTGCAAGACAGTTCTTCTCTTGACAAAAGGCTTCACTGTGAATTCCTTTTAAATGCTGAACCCTGGTGATATGAAATATCACTTAATTTATTAAAAATTAAACAAATAAAAGGGATTTATGTGAAAAATTTTCATGAATATTCACTGCATATTACAAGTCAAACTTTGCCTTGAATGAATGAAACTAAACTTCATGGAAGAAAAACGTCACAGGAAGACCGGTGCAAAAAGCAGAGCACAGAAAGGCTGCACTGGAGAGGGGTGGCACCTTGTACAAAGGGGAGATACCTCGTACAAAAGGGCGAGACCTAAAATAAACTGCAAAACCAAAGGGCTGTATTCAGGCCTGCTCTCCTACAGGGCACTGGCTGGAAGGGGACACCAGTAATACGCTCATTCAAGAGCAACGCTCTTGGCTTCATGAGATCTATAATGATTCTTTACGTAAAAATCATTTTTCAAAAATAAAAATGTAACTGGTTTCCTACTTGGCAAAATTTCTAAATAACCAAAATGAAGTACTGTATCAGATAATTTTAACTTTATTATTGATAGATAGATAGACAGACAGACAGACATATATCAACATTTAAAGATGTGCTTTAATGTGTTTTATCTGCATTTTTGGAAGTTTTACTAATTTGATTTCTGGATTACTGAATACGGTACTTCAGCCATTTCAGCAAAACAACAGGCTCAGTTTCCACCCTCGTGAGCAGGTGAAGGCAGCTGAAAGGGAAACAGAAAGGGGCAGCCTGCTGCCGCCCCTCCTTCATCCCCAGCAAAGGATCAGATCTGCTGTCTCACATGCGCTCAACACATCAAAGGACAAAGCTTTAAGGAAAGATGAGTAACTTTTGGTTAATCTTTACTGTAACACACACTATAGAAATGAATTTACTGGCAATTTCAATGGCTATTATATTAGTAGCAAAAACCAAGTAACAATAAGGTGACCAGGTAATTAAAAAGCAAATCAGGGCTATTACTGAAATGGTGGAAACCTCCCATATCATGTTTCAATATTAAGTCTTATTAATTGCAGGCTGTGTCGGCATCAGTTTTCTTTCTGTGGGGGCAGAGCTGCAAAATCAGCTCTTACACATAATTTTCTCTCAGACTTGGAATGAGTCCAAATCAAGCCTGTCTCTCCCTGACGCTGGATTAGCATATCAGAAGACTGTTTGATGTCAACACAAGATGGGGACCAGGTTGCTTTCCAGTTAAAAATAAATACACCATATCATGTAAGTATCAGACCATGAAAGAAAAATTTTATGCTTTAATATAGATTCTGAAATCATCATAATTATAATTAACTTCACAGTTTAAAGTCCCATCATTAAAAAATAAATCATATATAAAGGAAAGGGCAGAATGAAAAAACTGCCTCAAAATGGAAGTCGTGAACAGGCCAAGATGGCCTGATTGTTTTCATGTCTTCATATTCTTCTCTCAGATTGTTTCTATCAACAAATTAAAGATGGTAACAATAAACTGTATCAATACAAGGCTACCTAGACAGAACACTTGGCAAAATGTAAGTATCCAAATTAGTAACACGTTTTTGAAGAATGATTTTATGAATTTGATTTGATCAAAAGCAGTTTCATTATGTCATTGATAGCTCCCAATATTTTTTATGTGTCTGTTTAAACATACGCTGTTTTCCAACCATCCTTGAGTGGAGGCTTTTTTGAGAAAACCAATGCTTATGATGAGACAAGTCTGTCTGTTCTGATGGTGGCACTGTTGACCATCTCTTAAAAAGAGAATGAACAGGAAAAAGGCAGTGAAAATTTGAATTCTTTTTACTACTGATAAAATGTATGTTAGCACTACAAAGGAGGAAATTTCATAATGCCACAGTATTAAAAAAAAAGAACAACTTTCTCTTAACTTATTCTAATATATACACATCTTTTAAAAGTTAATTATCTAGTCAAGTGACACTGCAAAAATCCTATTTTTCTCTGAAAAAAAAAGACAGCCCCACATATTCAGGTCTAGAGTCAGAAAAAAAAAATCTAATGCGAACATATAGAAATAAAAAATATACATTTACTTGTCATGTGATAAGTTTCTAATAAAGCAATAATTTTTTAAAGGTTGGTATCAAAGACTTATGTGAAAAAACATGGGATATGGCATTTTTACTATATATTATAAAATAGAAATTAAACTTTTTACATCTGAAAATAAAATATCTAAAAAGTCATGAAAATGCAGAAATCAGCACTGAGGAATACCTGACCACTTGGACAGAATTTTTATTTAGTCTTCTTTTAAAGTAGGTTCATCTTTTTTCCATGCAAAGCTTCAAGTGTTGTTTATTTTAGAAACATATTTTCTACCTCCATCAACATTATTCAAAAAAAAACTGAACATTATTCACATCACAAAATAGACATAACAAAAAGCTAGTCGATGTACATATAAAATGTATATACAAACATCAGATTATAGCTTATCCTCACTTGTGAAATTCAGCATATCTGGTAAAGCACACGTGCAGGGTCACTGAAGTCGTGTGTATTAATATAGAAGAGGCTAGCTGATGCAAGCTGCTTCCATTCAAAGATTTTTGGAAAATAGTCACATCACTTTTTTTTTTAATTGTCAAACATCCTCCTACAAATTAAACGCCCAAACCGAATTACACGGTGGATACTGATTATCAAGTACCAGTTTTTGGACTCAGCTGGGTCGCCTGGTGCCTGAATCTAGACACCTCTACTCCACGCAGAACACACATTTCTCGTTTCTATGTTTTGCGATTCTGGCATTCCTCCTCCAGAAATCTCGGGAAAAGTGTCAGTGATACTAACTAGCATAAACTCAGCCACAAAGAGAACAGGAAATTCTGTTTTGTAAATAAGTTTGTCC